GGGGGTGTGGAAATTTTTTGCACCCTGTCCCCCAGGGTTTCGCCACTGGTGTCCCATGCAGCAGGTTACAGATCAGGGATGCCCTGGGAGAGGAGCTGGGTCCTTCACTGCTGGGAAGTAAGCAAAGGAGGGGAAGGGACATGAGTGTCACCTTCAGAAAAAATACATATACATACATAAGCTTGCCGTGGGGTGTGCTGAGCCTCTCCCCAGGCAAGGGCTGGCTGCAGTGCAGGGTGGGTACATGCTCCGCTGCAGGATCAACCTCGGCTCCAGGCTCTGAATCAGCTGCTGGAGATGGGGAAACCCGGGCGAGGCTGACCTGGCTCCCCGACAGGCAGCATCAGAGGCTGCTGCAGCGTCTGGGGAGAGACTGGGGCTTTCTAGGTCTTTAGATGGGTGGTTGCAAGTGCCGGGTGCCTGAAACGCTCCTGGGAGCTGCTGTCTGAGACTTGTTCTCTGCCTTGGACTAGTTCAGGCAGGATATGGATGGCTGCCATTGGGCAGCTCCTCTCCCTCCTTGCAGGAATGTTCAAGCGTGGGCTCGGGGGGCTGCGGGCTCAGGGGCCTATGATCCATCCTGGGGCTCTGTCAGTCCTGGGGGATGCTCCCGCAGCCAGGTCACTGCTGCGATTCCAGGAGCGAGTGCCACGTGCTCGGGGATGCTCATGCAGCAGAAGGGCGAGGAGACAACGCGATGGATGTCTGCTGGGTTTGGGAACCACCCAGAAAAATCATCCTGCCTGCACAGCCCATTAGCTTGTAATTAACGGCAGGGCTGAGGAGCGGTGTGTGCTCGCACCCTGTGCAGGTCTGCCTCCAGGTGAACACCACAGGTGTCCTTGTGCAGGGTCTGCAGCCGTGCCCCCATGTGGGTTTCTGGTCCAGAGAGCCATGTCCTGCTGCGCTCTGCAGAAAGTAGCGTGTGAGCCTTCTCTGGCATTTGGAAACATGACCCAGGGGTAATTAGTTGACGCTGATGAGGGCCTCCTGCCCTCCCAGCTCCCTGGGGCCGTTCCTGCCCTCGCTGCCCAGCCAGGCAGTGCTTGGCTGCCTGTCGTGTTTTTATTGCCGGGTGTAGAAAAGCCCTTCCCGTTGGTTCTTACTGGGTCACAGGCTAATTTTATTAAACACCAGCACGAGAAACTGCCAAGTTCCCTCCTCTGAACGTCTCCTGAGCCCAACCTTAGGGATAATTGTCTCCCCCATTAGTTTTCATTAAATTAAATGCGGGAGGAGGATCTGAACAACCAGGAGCTCCAGTCTGAGCACAGCATGTACTTGCTGGCAGGGTGAGCACAGCCTGTGGAGTTGGATTTTGCACCTGGAGCAGTTCAGGAGAAGGCAGTGTGGAGTGGTGGAGCCTGGACAGCACACCGTGCACCATCCCCAGGGCAGGCTGGGGGCCAGGCCCTGCGCCCGGGGCTGCAGAGCTCTCCTCTGGGCAGCCAGGCACCACCAGGCCTTCCCCTCGGACTCCTGCCGCCCTGTTCTCGCATGTTCTGCTTCCCTGGCTGCTGTTCATTAAAAGTTAATGCCTGGCTCTCAGTCCACGCTGAGGTAATGCCATGCATCTGCTGACGAGCCTTTATAACTTACTGATGCCAACCCAGATGTGCCTCTGTGACCCATCATCCTGTTCCCAGTCCCATCTCCCTCAGCGGGGCTAATTCCAGCAGATCACACCAGAGGAAGGAGCAGGTGAACCGAGCCACGTGCTTGGGAAGAGCAGCGGGACAGCACCCGCGTGTACACGGCTGCCCACGGACAGACATCACCCCCGCACCACGACCGACCAGCCTGAGCATCCGCCCCAGGCGCCAAGCTGGGAGCCCCGCTCTGCTCTTCCCCTCCTGAACCTCAGAGTTCACCCAGCCCCGGGATCAGCTGCTCCTTCCAGCAACACCCGAGCACTGCTTCCCCTGGCCACAGGCGGGATCAGGCATGCCCTGAGCAAACCAGGGACACGGTCTTGCATGTGTGTGTCATCCCCTCATCTCAAGTGGCTTCCTGATGCCTCTTGCAACCTGCTGACACCTCATTCCCCTCTGACTATCCCCTGTCTTACTGCTGCTGCCATTTTTCAAAATTGCCTATGTTCTGCCTTCGTGCATCTCTCCCACGCTCAAGCTTTGTCTCTGCTCACTCTTGGAGACAGGATTCCACCTTCACGTAGTTTCTCCTCTCCTACTGCCTGTCCTAACAGAGACATCTTTGTCGAGAGGCATCTAAAGGGACTCTGGCTCTTTCCCCCATAGACCATCTTCACAGATTCCCACACCTAGTAGAAGCATGGGAGGTGTTTCATTTCTCCACGCCCCCTTTCCTTAGTGAAACCGTTTTGCTCAGGAATGTTAATGCTGCCCTGCAGGGTTTCCTCCTTAAAAAGGGTAATGACCCAAAGCTGGAAGGGTGAGGGGATGTCAAGAGTCTGAGGGCTGTTGCCTAGAGCTGTTCAGCAGGGTCGGTGGGACACAGCAGAGAGCCAACAGCCTGAAACACCTACTGCAACAGTCTCCACAAAGCACGGGGGTACTAAAATACATTCCTAAACAACTGGGTGCAAATTACAGATCTGAGCAGATTTAAATCTATGAGCTGAATTAGGCATCCTTTGAGCAGGTAGAATCAACATGATTTAGATCAATGCAACGCTTCCTAGATTATTTCTCCTTCAAGTATTTTCTCCTATTGATGGATTTGTTAACTTAGAGCCAACGCATCCCAATTTACCGGGTGCAACTGTTGATGTCAAATTTGACTAGTGAAAATCTGTTTTCTGAAACCTCCAGAGTAGAGCTGTCTGGTGGATTGAGACTGGAACACACAACTGGAGTGTTCATCCAGATGGTCAGAGAAGATCACAAAGCACAGACCAGTCTCTGACACAAGACACTGAAACAAGATGAATTTCTTGAAAATATGCTCTTCCACACCTTAAAATAGCGCAGGCTGTCCTATTCCTTCCCATGTGCTGGAGGGTATCAGTGTAGAACTGCAAAACATTCTACATTTGGCTGGAGCTAATTTAGCTTTCATTTTACAAAAAACACACTAATTCCCCCATCTTAAAAAGAATATGCTTCCTGCTCAGTTAACTCTGTGTGGCAGGAAAAAATTCTTCCTTTGTATTTTTAGCAGCAAATACCAGCTACCAGGCACCAAAGTTTCACTCTACATTATACACCACTTTCCCAAAATGGATAGGTCTCTTCATCCAGGATTGGGGGATAAAAGAACTGCGGTTCTATAGATCCAACAAAGCAATCTCACCGATTAAGTGCTTTGGGAACTAAGCACAGGGCAGCACGACACATCCCAAAGCAGGCAGGAGTAAAACAAAGTAAAAGCCAGGCAGAATGAAAAAGGCTCATGTCTCAGGCTCCCCCCTTGACGCTTTGTAAGTCTCTTCCACACACTGCATTCAGAGGTACTCAAAGCAACCTCGGAAAATAGGTTTGAGTCTAGCTCTGTGCAAAAGCACACCGAGAGCAGAACCTGCGCAGAAGAATAATGACTGGCTTATGTTCTTTCTAAGCAACAGTGGAAGAGTGCAGGAGGATGCATTTGATGATTCTCTCTAACCCGAATCCAGAGGTGAGCCCCTAAAATGAAAGGGTTTCTTCACGCACAACTTAATTTAAAAAAAATAAAAAAATTTCCTTTCTGTAACAATATAATTTATTTTTGAAAGTAAATTAATCCACCTTTCTTTAATTATGTGAAGGTTCTGGCAAAGAGAAGCAGCAGGTACAGTTGGTGAAGTATTTTCATTTGAGCTGAATTTCACACAGTTCCATGCAGATACAGTGCCAGAAACTTCTTGAATGTGTCTGGCTGAAAGCCATATATTCCAGCGGGCTTCTGCAGAGAAAAAGAGACATGGATGCTCAGTTTGCAGTGAAGTGATTAATGCAGACAAACAACAGCTTTAAATACGCTTGAATAAGACTTCAGACGTGGTAGCTTCCAAGTTGTGCTCTCCCTCCCTAGATGGGTTTGTCTGTGGGCACTTCAACTGGTCTAAATCTCAAACGGCAGAATCCTTCTGCCCATCCAACCGCGGCGCCCTCCCAGCGTAACCAGGACTGACAGCACCGGGCTCCGTTTACTCCACGGCGAAGCTGACAGTTGCACGTAAGCACTTCCTTCATCAGAGCACGGGCTGATTTTAAACAAGCATATTATCAGACGGTAGATTACAGATGGGGATATCTTTATGTAGGAGTTCGCATTAAGCGTGGCATGTGGCTCGCACGCCTCGCGGTACATCAGCACTACAAATACTCCCTGTCAGTAACACCGGCGTAAGTAAGAGTGAGGCCAGTGCCTCTGTCAGGTCCCTTCTGCTGGTTTCAAACCCACACTGCAGCTCTACGCCAGCTCCCAAAACTCCGGCAGAGCTGAAAGGGCAGGACTTCCAGGACTGTTTCCCAAGTTTTGCTTACCGTAACAACTCTCTTCTTGACTTCTGGAATACACTGGGCTCTTTCATACAGATTCTGATCAGAGTCAATCCAGACTAGATTTTTTATGCCATCATTAGAGACAAGGTCTGTTGTATTTAACTGGAACACCATGAACTGGAAGATGCGGCCATCTGTGCCAACGCTTTGCACCACTATTGGCTGCTCCAAAACCTGGGGATCGTTCTAGGAAAGAAGGGAGTGGGGGGGAAAGAATGTTTAAAAAGCCAGTTACCGCAGAAATTGTGTGAGTACTTGCTGATTCTGCATCTTCTACTTGGTTTAAAGCCAAGATTTTAATAAATGTATTGTTACCTTGCCCAGAAAATTACTCTAGTCAAACAAGTTCTGAATGTAGATTTTGTATTTTAATTAAAATTCTTCCTTCAGCCAGCAATGAAGTATCAATTTACATACTGAGCTGTGGGATGGGTTAAGAGTTTTACAGTTGAACCTACTCCCTGGTTCCTACCCATTACCACACCAACGCGTGTTACATCACGAACAAGCTCACTGCTGAGCGGTGGCTTTCTGGATCAGCAGACACCAGTGACCATACCTGAAGGTTAAGAGTTAGACCTCTGGACTGGGAAACTCAGATGTGAAAACTACTCTAACGTGCCACAGCAAGGGAATTTCATGACTCTTTCCACTAGCTGCAGCACTACAGAAAAGAACAAAGATCCAGGCAGCAAGCAGCAGTCTCCAGTACGTACCCCGTACAGCACCTTAGCCTTTGCCAGCGCGTTGCCAAAAGCAAACATCAGCATTTTAGCACGAAGCTGTTCTGGTCTGAACCTGTCAGGACGAATGTTGGCCGATTCCAGGAAGAACAGAGTGTGAGGATGAGAGTACGGATAACCATCTCTAAAACCTAAGGAGCAGATAAACATGTCAGAAATTGCTCAGTAAGAGACTACACAGCCAATGTTTCCTCCCATATCTTCAGGAACTGCTAATTTGCTGGGATTTAAGTTCTTCTCCACAGTCCTGCTTAGGCCACAACATACATACCACAAGTCTGGAGCACTTGCACTGCAAACCCTGTGCCCGGCTCCTGTGTCCCCTCATTCCCACACACTCCCTACTCACAGCCCTCTTGCAGAAGGGCAGGGACTCCAGGTTAACCTGAACATTTAAGTCTGACAGAAAATTGTTATCAACGGCTAGATTTACCTGTACTGTTAAGCTCTTTGTACACATTCACTTCCTGGAGATCAATTGTAGGAGAAATGGGATAGAAGGTCTCCAGAACATGTTCTTCAGTGGCCAGGATCTCCTCCTTGGAAGCGACTGGTGGTATTGGGGCCATAGAGTTCAGAAGTATTCCATTCAGGCCACGGACCTGAAGGAGAATGGATTCTGGGAAGGGAAATTAGGCTGAAACATTGCTGAAATAGGATTAGGGGAAAATGTATGTTTCCTTTTGGGCAGCAGCATTCTAACAAATCATTGTTGTGCAAGGCTCGGTCTCTCCCTATCACCTGCAAACTCATCTTAAATAGTAGCTCAGCTATAGGTTCTTCTAAAATACCAGTGGCAACTGGCAGCGTTCATTTAACTAAACATACTTAGAAAAACAACAGCACCGATTCTGGACACAAAAAATAAACAATCAGTTCTAAGAAACTGCTTCTCTTCTCCCACCATCTTGTCAATATTGTCTTAACACCCTAACAGTCTCCCCAGGGCAAGTATCCTGCCATCATCAAAGGCTGCCCACGCTTACGGCACTATTTAAAACTGAAAGAATCACTTGGTTCCAGAAATTGTTTAATTTTCTCCAAGGCCTCAACCTTAAAGCTAGTGACTTTGTTACCCCTCTTAATTAAAAGAGCTAAATGCTTCCACCATAGCAGCAACTAACCTCTTTCCCACGTAGCTGATATCCTGTAGTTCCTAGCCAACATTCTTTTAGACAGAGAAGGCCACTTCACAGATATTAACCGACATAAATGTATCAAGTCTTCAAACAGTACTGGGCTTTAGAATGAGAAAAAAAACAGTGATACAAAAAACATGATCGAAATGGTGGGCAGATGCTTCTGGGACATGAATGCTGTAACACTGCTGTATGTAAAACACAGAACAGCATAATATTTCCAAACAGTTAACACAGATTTCAGATTAATATCCCACACACCAGTCCTGTTCCAAGTTGGCAGAGGTAATGCTTACCATTAGTTATTTTAAAAATTGATATTCTGCATCAGCCAGAAGTAGATCTCAAATTGAAACACAGATTTTGGCCTGAAAGAAGCTTTAATGTAGAGTATGTGGTTACATGGGTACTACTGTCAACATTCAGAATTGGGGGGGGGGGGCG